GCGTTACAGCTCACAAAAAGCTCAAACTCTTGGGATTAAGCAATTCTCTTGCCTCAGCCTCCCAACTAGCTGGGACTATGGGCTCCCGGCACAGTGCCTGGCTATTTTTTGTTGTTGTTGCTGTAGTTGTCATTGTTGTTTGGCGAGCCTGGAGCAGGTTCGAACCCGCCAGCCCTAGCCGCTAAGCTACGGGCAGCAAGCCTTATTATGTCCCTTCCAACAAGAAGCTTGCAGTTACCTATACATTAGACCGCCTCATTAAGTACTATGGAAGTGACACTGTGTGGGGGAAAACAGTTTACTCAAAATTTTTATCTAGTGCAATTTCTTTTTCTTTCTTGCTCTCCTTTATTTTTGGCTTTCTCAGTAATATAGAGCTTTGCATGTGCTAGTTGCCAAAGCTAAATGTATGTACAAAACCAAAGGAAAACAAGTAAACAACAAAGAATATTTAAAATTATGTTTTAGGAAAGTTGCTGTTGTATGTCCTTTTTGGCTCATAAAGTAGAAAAGATATAGGCAAGTAATGTATGTGACCATCAAACTGTTTTATGTAGACCCAGCTATCTGTCATAAATGTTAGATTGCTAAATGTCATTAAGAACTATGTAAGAAGGGGCTTAGAAGGATATTTATGGAAATCCTTTCTCTGACCACTTCCTCCACCTCAGACTTTTTCTTTGAATGCTGTTCAATTGTGTCTAGTAAGCCTAGGAAAATGGAGGCAGAAACAGAAAGTTATGCCCTATGGCAAAAAAGATACAAAAGGAGGGAGGCCGAAAAACCTCATAGTAGCCAACTCCAGGAATAAGCTATTAGAGGTATAATCAGATCAAGTTTCAAAAGTTGCCCTCAGAGGCTGGGTGTAGTGGCTCACACGTATAATCCTAACACTCTGGGAGGCCGAGGCGGGTGGATTGCTTAGCTCATGAGTTCGAGAGCAGCCTGAGCAAAAAGCAAGACCCTGTCTCTACTAAAAATAGAAAAACTGAGGCAAGAAGATCACTTGAGCCCAAGAGTTGGAGATTGCTAGGAGCTATGATGCTACAGCACTCTACCCAGGTCCACAGTTTGAGGTTCTGTCTCAAAAAAAAAAAAAAAAAAAAAAAAAATTGCCCCCAGAGCCAGGCATGCCTGTAATCCCAGAAACTCAGGAGGCTGAGGTGGGAAGATTATTTAAGCTCAGGAGTGTGAAACAAATCTGGGCAACATGCCAAACCCCTGTCTTTAAAAAATATATAAATAAGAAAGACTGGGAGTGGGGGGCATAGTGGTGCTCACTATAGTCCTAGCTACTCAGGAGGCTGAGGCAGGAGTATTGCAGTGAACTATGATCAGGCCACTGTACTTGAGTCCGGGTAACAGAGTGAGACCCTATTTCTGGAAAAAAAAAAAAAAGAAGAAGAAGAAGAAGGGAAGGAGGGGAAAAAGGAAAGGAAACAAATATTTTGTAAAAGCTGATTAGGGACAGTAAGGTTTAATTAGCAGTTAGAAATGTGACCCTCAGTCTTCAGTTCCAAAGCATCTTAGAGAACAGTGGAAGGACAGTGATGCCCATTATGGTTCTCTCTCTTCAGCCCTCACGGCTGCTGGCTATCAACTGGTGTGTAAGGAAATTGTTGCCTTCCTTGTTTTTAGTTCTTACATGGTCATCTTAGAGCGTTTGTAGTTATCAGGAAGTCATGAAGTTGTATACATTCCAGTATTCATACCAAATTACCTTGGAGGTCAAGTGTATATTTCTAACGGCAAAATATCTCAATTTTAATCTTATGCCTTGTTATTTTCTTCTTCTGAATATTTTATTAGGTATATGTGGTTGCTATGAATATTAAAAAGGAAGCAGAGTCAAAACCAAAAAGAACAATTAAAAATACTGATGATGAGGATGATGACTACGGTACCATAGATGAACTGCCACCAGATAGTTTAATAACACTGGTACAACCTGAACTGCCAACACTCAGCCGCCTGTGGTTGGCAGCATTAAAAGATTATGCGCTTTTGACTCTACCTGCTGAATTTGCTAGTCAGCTCCCCCCCGATGGTGAGTACTGCATTCAGAGCTTTGCTTTTATAGTGTTCAAAATAGTAGCTGGTAAAGGCTAGCAACAACAGTAACAATAATAACACCTTAAATTTCTGTGGACTTAAACTTGACATTGTCTCATATTGAGTTTGTTGATTCCAGATAAAACGTAAAGCTCTTTTGTTAACTGAAGCAAACAGGTTAGCCCTGTTACAGTAATAGCTCTATGAGCTAGGATACTCTAAATGACTGTGGATAATAAGTCGTTATTTATAACCATGATGAACTAAACTATGTTACTGTAGACTCAGTGTATGTATTTTCATGTAAGTTCTTTGTCTATCAATGAATTATGTTCCTAAAGTCCTTTACAAATTGTTTATAACTTTAGTTTTCCTACTGAAATCCATACAGACATTATCTTTAACAAGTTTTTACATTTAGAGAACATATTATCAGTTCCTACTCAAAGAAACTATTTCTCTTCCCATATATGAATGATGCCAGTAATGGAGCTTCCCACTTTTTTTCCTTCCTTAAGCCATCACAACAGCAAGGAGGGAGGAGGAAGTCCTCAGTGTTGGTAGTGGAAATAGGAGGTGAGGAGGAATCGCAGAAGACGAGAAAAATGTAAAGAAGCAGCAGAGTTCCCTGGTTGTGGGAGAAAGAGGGTGGTAGGGTTTTAGGAGCCACTGGCAGCAATGAAGAGGTAAAGCCTGTGACAACAGGGTGGGAAAAGGTAAGGATACTTGGTGGCATCAGCAGTAGCAGAGGAAAGTCTGGAAAAGGAGCATCAGTGAGGAAGAGGCAGATACTCCAGATCATCAGCTACAGGACAGGGGTTAGTTTTGGTGGGGGCGTAAAGAAGAGACACTCTGTAGCTAGACTATTCTTTCTACATAATAGATGTTTTTAATTGTTCATAAATGAGAAAACACTCGTAATAGACTCCAGTGATGTTTTTAATCGAGTTGTTTTCTTCTAGGTGGAGCATTTTACACTCCTGAGACTATTGATACAGCTAGACTTCACTATCGGAATTCCTGGGCCCCAATTCTCCATGCGGTGGCACTGTGGTTAAATAGCACAGGATTTACATGTTCAGAGTCCACAGAAGCAGCAGCAATATCTGGCTTACAAAAACGTTCCACGTCTGTCAACTTAAACCAGGCATCGGGAGCAGCAGGTGGTACTAAATCTTTGCCAGAAATTAATAAAGACAGAATGCATCTGATTTTAGGTAGGTGTGTTATCTTACATATACATTACACATATTAATGTATTTCATGATACATCACTTCTGAAAATTCTTACCTTTCATTTTACTGCTATGGAAAAGTTTCATACAATGTAACACAATTCAGACAAGAAAAAATAAAAGAATTTTCCCCTTACCTTGTAAATTATAAACTAAATTTTTAATCTAAACATTAAATTATTAATACTATTCCTTCAAAATTTTAGCTGTCATGTTTACTCACAGAACAACAATAAGTTTACTTTTTACTTGGCACTTAATAGATGATTCTATGAAGAAAAAGTTCAATTAGATATAAATGAATCGTAATTAATGATTGCTGTATAGATACTTTTTTTTTTTTTT